ACCCACCCACGCCCAACACCCAGCGGTTCGTTTTTTGAGATGTCTCAAAACACGAATTTTATCCCACGCATCCACCCACACCCAACGCCCACAGGTGCGCGTGCTGTCCTTGCGCGAGGAGATAGAGCGAGCAGCGCATGCTGCCCTGCGACAGCAGTTTTCCCGGTGTGCTGCTTTGCTGCAGCAAGCCCAGGAGGCCCAGCAGGTGCACCGACAAGGTGATTATAAGGGAAGGAAGGGACCAGCAGATGCACCGACAAGGTGATTATAAGGGAAGGAAGGGACCAGCAGATGCACCGACAAAGGGTGGGACCAGCAGGCGCAAATGCTCTCGAGGAAGGGGATGATACCCCAACATGCGGGCCAGCAACGTGATTACAAGCAGGCAGCCCCCCCCAAGAGGAGGTGCTGATAGGCATACCAGAGTCAGGTGGTGGTTGTGAGAGAACTTGTGGCGCTTTCCTCCGCTCGCCACCAGGCAGGCAGCACCTCCTCTCACGTGACACGCTCTCACCACGACAATTACCACAGTCAGTTGGTGGTTGTGAGAGAACTTGTGACCTTGGTGGTATAGGGTATTGCTGGTTGAAGCAAATTGCTGGCACAGAGGTCCTATACATTCCGTCATGCCCCCTTTCCTCAACGTGTTGTCAACTCCCTCCGTCTATCTGGTGCGAAGATAAAATCCAGCGACTGTGCTGGCTGACGATCTTTGTGCATGTCATGTCATGTCACTCACTGAGACCCCCTCATTCCTGTGTGTGTCCCACTCCTCCCATCAGTCCTCCAGGCATCCCTGGCCGCACATTCAGTGCTCTCTATTTGTGAGGCGCCTCAAAAATCGATCCCCTCGTTCCTGCCTGTGTCTTCCCCTTCGCCCATCAGCCCTCCAGGCATCTCTGGCCGCACATTCAGTGCTCTCTATTTGTGAGGCGCCTCAAAAATCGATCCCCTCGTTCCTGCCTGTGTCTTCCCCTTCGCCCATCAGCCCTCCAGGCATCTCTGGCCGCACATTCAGTGCTCTCTATTTTTTAGGCTCCTCAAGGTTTTTGAGGCGCATCCCCTCATTCCTGCCTGTGTGTTGCCCTTCTCCCATCAGCCGCACATTCAGTGCTGTCGTTGCGAGCAGCGGCGCTGGCAGACTTTTGAGTCCGACTCAAAAGTCAGTTTGTGCATGTCATGTCATGTCATGTCATGTCATGTCACTCACTGAGATGAGATCCCCTCATTCCTGTGTGTGTTCCTTCCCCTTCCCCTCCTCCCATCAGCCCTCCAGGCATCCCTTGCCGCACATTCAGTGCTCTCGTTGCGAGCAGCGGCGCTGGCAGTGCTGAAGCAGCCAGGCAGCGGGGACAGAGTGAAGCGTTTGAGGGAGGAGCAGCAGCAGCTGCTGGCCTCGCCTGCAGCAAGGGACGCCTTTCTCTCAAAGCTGGAAGCTGCTGGTGAGTAAGAATATCATATCTCCCCGGACGACTGGAACAGTGCTGGCAGTGCCCAAGCAGCCAGGTAGTGGGGAAAGTGTGAAGCGCCTGCGGGAGGAGCAGCACCACCTGCTGGCCTCTCCTGCAGCAAGGGACGCCTTTCTCTCAAAGCTAGAAGCTCCTCGTAAGGAAGTATATCTCCCATCATCTCGAACAGTGCTGACAGTGCCCAAGCAGCCAGACAGTGGGGACAGAGTGAAGCGACTGAGGGAGGAGCAGCAGCAGCTGCAGCAGCAGCTGCTTATGGCCTCGCCTGCTGCACGAGAGGCCTTCGTCTCTGCCTTTGAACCACGTGGAGAGTTACAAACCCTGCTCATTTGGCAGGTTCAGGTTATTTGCACTGGCGGCGATTTGTGAGAATGTTAGGAAGTCGCTCGACAGCAGACAACGGGGTCAAGGCAGGCAATGGGGACAAGGCGGGCAGCGGGGACAGAGTGCATCGTTGGTGCATTGTCTGGACTGCAGGAGGAGCAGCAGCGGCAGCTGCTGGTATGGCCACTCACTCCTCCTGCTGAAAGATAATATTTACTTTCCACCCTAAACCCACTGGTGCGTCTGTCCCACCCACCCAGCAACAGCATGCCAGTGTCGTAGTCTGCGCATCCCGCTTCCTTTCCATAGGTGATTTTTTAGTCAACTCAAAAGGTGATTTTTTAGTCGACTCAAAAATCACCTCCTGTCCCACTCATCCAGCAACATCATTCCAATGTCGTAGTCTACCCATCCCACTTCCTTTCCGCTCGCCCCCTGTTGACCACCGCCATCCCTCCCACAAATCCTCTCAAATCCTTCGTGCTCCGACTTCCCTTCGCTTCTCATTTCCATCCATCTCCACCGCACCTACATCCCTTCAAACACCCCTTTCTCCCACCCTCCTCCTCCCCTCCCCCTCCCCTCTCCCTCCCCCCTCTCTCCCCCCTGCCACCCCCGTGCCGACTCCTCCTCCCCGTCCCTCCCCTGGTGTCCTGCGGAAGCATCTCTGTGGTCTAATCTACTCTTCTCTGCAGCCCACTTCCCTTCGATCTTCCTCTCCATAGACCACCACCCCTCACGTATCTCCTCCAACATCACCTCCACCCCCTCTCTCCCTCCGCCCACCCCCCGTCCCTCCCCTTGTGTCCTGCAGAAGCATCTCTGTGGTCTGACCTATTCTTTTCTGCAGCCCACTTCCCTTCGATCTTCCTCTCCATGGACCACCACCCCTCACGTATCTCATCCATGCAGCACTTAGTTAGCACTCAGAACGAAACATTTTCGGCTCTTAGAGCTGACACCGAGCGCGCTGCCGCTGCAGTGAAGGAAGCAAAGGGGAAGCTTCCAGAGCTGTGCCACGTCAGCGCCTCGTGGGTGAGGCCTGACGGTGCTGACGTGTCACCCTGTGCACTGGCCAATAGGATAACAGACGAAGAGAGTAGGGGGAAAACCACAGACAGGGGCAGATCAGGGGAAGGAGAGGAAGCCAAAGGAATGGGAGGAGAGGGAGGAGGAGAAGAGAAGGGCGGGGAAGGGGAAAATGGGAAGGCGCAGACAGCTGTTGGTGAGCTATTGAGTCAAGTGAACGGGGCACGGGACGATAAGTCAGACCCCCTATCAGGTCCCTTAGCCCCCTCTGCTCTCTGGCAGCAACCCCTGTGGGGCCTTCCCTTCTCCAGCCATCCTTCCGCCTTCCCCTCCTTCCCTCACTCCTACGCCTTCAATTCTCCCGCCTCCTCCCCTTTCTCACCCTCCTCCTCCTCCTCCTCCTCCTCCTCCTCCTCCTTGCTCTCACCTGCCTCGCTATCACCAGCTACAGCTCAGGCGACTGTAGCAGGTGCTGATTCTGTGGCTACAGCCGCTGCTACAGCTGCTGCTACAGCTGCTGCTGACGCCCATGCCAACTCCACTGCACCCTCCAGCTCGTCTGCCTCATCATCAGCAAGCGCCAGCTCATCCACCGACTCTGCCACGTCAGCAGCCGCCACATCAGCAGCTGCAGTGAACATCTCGTTCCTCATCTACACGTCACCCCCCACCACGTCGACCCTAGATCTGGTCTCAAAGCTCTTCGAGTGCACACAGGGCAGGCTCAAGGCGGGCACCATTGGGGGGCAGTTGGGGGGATTGACGTCTGAAGCGCTAGTGCTTATAGATGGTCCGTCCATTCCGCTACACCATGCTTCTGCCATGGTCCGCAGTTCAAAAAGGTCAGGAGATGGAGAGAGCGGCAGTGGGAATAGTAGCAGCAGCAGTGGTGTTGGTGGCAGCAGCAGCAGTAGCAATGCTGGTGGTGGTGGTGGTGGTGGTGGTGGTGGGAGCAGCAACAGCACCGAAGCCATACCAGGCACCATCCCTGGTTTTGAGAAGTACTACAACCCCTCGGAGTGGATCCAAGCCACCCAGCGAAGCTCCCCTGGTGCCTTCCTCACGCACATCCTCGCCCCGTCCCGCATGGGCGCAGCCCGCGCCTACAACCTCCTCTCCCTCCTCGCCCGCGGCTCCATACTCATCCTCCTCTCGGGCGGCGATCTGCCACCCGACTCCTGCGCCTGGGCGGCGAATCTCGTCTCGCCTTTCTCCGCCTGGCCCCGGCTGGGGATAGCCGGGCACGCCATGGGGAAGATGGGGCTGAGGAACGTTCCGGGAAGCCTGCAGCTGGGGGAGGTGCGGAACGCGTGGGACCAGTTTTGGAATCGGTTGAGGGATCCGGTGACGGGGGTGAGGATGAGCTTTGTGCTGGGCACGGTCACAGGGCCCATGGCGGTGCGGCGAGATGTGTTTGTGAAGGTGGGGGGGTTCAGTGCGGTTGATGGGGGCGTGGATGCACTCTCGGATTGGGACCTCTGCCAGCATGTGTGGCTCTCGGGCCATCAGGTATGTGATTTCTTTTCTGCCTGCGAAGGTTTTTTTTTGCTTTCTCGTCTCTTTTCCCCTCCCTTAGTTGTCTTGTCTCCTACTCCCGTCCACACTCCAACTGTGCTGTCTCCTTCCCCCCGGTTCGCTTCTCTGTCGTGATAGATGGTGCATGCTCCAAACATTTGCTGCACTTACTGTTTATCTCACTTTGCGTAAAATACAGGTGGCATTGGTGTATCAAGAACCAGATCTTCGTTTCCAAGCCACGAACGAGGTGAGCAGGAGCCGAGAGATGGCACGCTCAACCGAGTTATGGTCTCCTGACCATTCCGTGATCCATCCCAATCTCACAGCTAGAATCGTTTCTGAAGTGAAGCACATGAACAGATATCTCAAGCCACTGTTGATATGGGAGTAAAGATCATTGGACCTTTGAAAGCATTAAATAAAGTTGAGCTTACCTTGTATGATGAACATACTGCAAGTCATAGCCATAGGGGTCTGAGAAACAATTTCCGTTGGTGTACCAGCCGTCATTATCTTGGTGTTTGTCCGCACCCTCGGTTTCATCTATGCTGCCAGCAGTGGCGGCACTGATCCACCAACCGCTCCACCCTTGGGATCATCCCCACCTGCCCTAATCAACTATCAGGACTTGGGCCTAGCATTTATCACCAAACAGTACCACACCACTGCCAGGCCTTGGGCCTCCTGCTCATCTCTCCTGGCCTTTATTGCATTACTCTGCTCTGCACTCCACGTCTAGCTCCCTCCCTGGGCTTCTTTTGAGGCTGCCACTTCGGCCTTTCAGGGCTGCTGGTTTCCTTTCCACGACCATCACTGATGACGGGATTCTCAATGCGTGAGGTCTCCTTTAGGGTGGTAGCATTACCTTCATTGGCGCCTTAATTTTCACGCTTTCACCTACGCCGTAATGTGCGCGTGTCATGCTCTTTCGCTTCCGTAAGCTTTTCATCGTGAGGAGGGAACCATCTTCTCGAAAAGTGTTTGATTAGTTCGCAAATAGATACGAAACCCTGAACCAGCAACCTGCAGCCATTGCCCAGTGGAACCGCAGTTTGCCGTACCGATCAGCCACAGTACAATGCACAACCCTATGCTCAGGTTAGTACTACTAGTATGATACATGGGCAACACCAACAGTAGCAGTATTCCCATTTCGCAAAATTCAAATTAACTTCAGTATTCCTTCGCGCGAAATTCAGATTATCTCCGAGTGGCCATAGAACGGACCCGTTTGAACAGCCAGCGCTGGAGTCCTCGTAGTCATGTCAATCAGAGTACTAGCCCTATCTAAGCTGTTAGCGCGTACAATGCTGCCAGCCTTACATTAAGCAGTTACCCGAACATAAGGCTTCGTCATTCAAACATCTCGTTAGGCTCGGTGCAATATGGATTTCCCCCAGCCTAAGTTCCCGGCTCGGATAGGCGGCTTGTCATGGAACGACGACGGAGACGATTCAGATTCGGACGACTCCCCGGAGTCGGAGGCGGGATCCATGGGAAGCGGCGTGGGCCTCCTGGGAGGCTCCAGCGAAATTCCTCGCTCCGAGAGCTCCGCCTGGAAACCCGGCCGAGGGGGGAGCGTAGGGGGCGGAGGGGGACATATACCCGGAAGCGGAAGTTTAGGAGGGGGGCATATACCCGGAAGCGGAAGCTTAGGAGGGGTTGCTGGAGATATAGCAGGTGTCGGCTTTAGCGGCGGGCTCAGCGGCGTGATTAGCGGCGGAATCAGCGGCGGGAGTGGCGGCGGCGGCGGAGGCGGAGGAGGGGAGAGAAGGGTAAAGTTCGACACCCCAGCCCCGACCGAGGCCCCGGCCCCGGCCCCAGCTCCTCCCTCAAAGCCGCGTCATTCCCGCGCGCTGTCGTCCGAAGCTCCGGACTTGATGACGGCCAAGCCTAACGTTCGCCGCGCGCGAACGACTGCTTCGGCGATCTTCACTCGGCCCAACCACCCGAGCGTTTCAGGTCCGTCTCCACCTCTCCTACTTTAGCTTCCCTTGTAAGGCTTGATGGCGGCCAAACCTAACGTCCGCCGCGCGCGGACGACTGCGTCTGCAATCTTCACTCGGCCCAACCACCCGAGCGTTTCAGGTCCGTTCGGGCGAACGAACTGTCTCCTTTAGCTCTCCTTCAGCTTCCCTTCGTCTCGTCTCGCTTACCGTCTCTCTCGCCCCCTCCCTTCCTCGAGAATCCATGATATCGCTCCTGATCGAAGCCCTCCGTCTCTCTAATTATAAGGTCTCCTCCTCTGTCATCGCTATAACAGGCTCGGACAGCATCCCCCAAGACGCATCCGGGCAGTTCCGCCGCCAGCGCCACGACTCCATAGGGGGAGGGACCCCAGGCGCGGGGGGATTGCGCCAGATGCTCACTCCGGGCAGCGCCGCAGCAGCAGCCGCGCGGCAGCGCCGCATGTCCGTCCAATTCGCATCCGGCTTCTCAAAACCCACGGGCTTACAACTCCCAGGGTCCGTCAGCCAAGGGGGGCCAATGACCCCGACGGCTGCTGGCCCCACTCAAGCGACGAAAAAAGTGCAGAAGTCCATGATGATGTGCATGGACCCGACGTGCAACGCGTGCCCGCCTGAAATGCACGCGTTGCGGAATAAGAAGCTCATGGCGCAGGTCATAGACGAGTTTCCGGAACCCATGGCAAGGCCGACGAGGCGGGGGGGTGGGGGAGGAAGAGGAGGCGGAGGGGATGATGATGATAGCGACTATAGCTTTGATGATGATGATGACGACGATGACGATGAGTATGGGTATGACTACGACGCGGAGCAGGGCCAGAGGACGATCGTGCGCTTCTGTGGGGTCACCTGCTTCACGTATACGTCCAAGGTGAGGCTCCGTAGCTAGCTCCCCCCCCTCCCCCCCCCCCCGTCTAAGGTGACTGCTTTTGAGTCGACTCAAAAGCAGACGATGACGACGAGTATGGGTATGACTACGACGCGGAGCAGGGCCAGAGGACGATCGTGCGGTTCTGTGGGGTCACCTGCTTCACGTATACGTCCAAGGTGAGGGTCGGTACCGTAGGTAGCCCCCCCTATCCAAGGTGAGGCTGCGTGGGACCTTGGCTCCCCCCTGTCCAAGGTGAGGCTAGTTGCTTTGTGGGAATTCTAACAAAACAAAATCAAGGCGAGGCTCCGTGGCTGCCTCCTATTCAAGGTGCGGCCCGTGGCCCCCCCCTATCCAAGGTGTGGCCTGTGGCTCCCCCTATCCAAGGTGTGGCCTGTGGCTCCCCCGTGTCATAATTATGAGGAGCAGGGCAGTGGACGACTGTGCGGTTCTGTCGACTCACCTGCTTCACGTATTTGCAGGGCGTGTTTGTGGTTCAGCCGCTCAGCATGCTGCTCCCCAGATGGCTTTTGAGTCGACTCAAAAGTCAGGACGTGTTTGTGGTTCAGCCGCTCAGCATGCTGCTCCAGCCCAGCCGTGTGACATCATGAGTCATCACCCCCCTCTCTCCCTCTCCCCAACCCTCACCTCTCCCCTCACCTTTCATCCTCACCTCTCCCCTCACCTTTCATCCTCACCTCTCCCCTCACCTCTCCCCTCACCTTTCATCCTCACCTTTCATCCTCACCTTTCATCCTCACCTTTCATCCTCACCTCTCCCCTCACCTTTCATCCTCACCTCTCCCCTCACCTCTCCCCTCACCTTTCATCCTCACCTTTCATCCTCACCTTTCATCCTCACCTTTCATCCTCACCTTTCATCCTCACCTTTCATCCTCACCTTTCATCCTCACCTCTCCCCTCACCTTTCATCCTCACCTCTCCCCTCACCTCTCCCCTCACCTTTCATCCTCACCTTTCATCCTCACCTCAGCCAAAGCGGAAGAAGCGTACATCCCGATGGACCTTGCGTGGGAGGACGTGCAGGACCTGTTCCAGCCGATCAGCATGATGTGGCAGCTGTGGCCCCGTGGGGCTTCATGAACCCTCTCCCTCCTCTCTCAACCATTCCCCCCCACCCTCAACCATTTCACGCTGACCTCAGCCAAAGCGGAAGAAACGGAAGTCCCGATGGACCAAGGCATGGGAGGACTTACAGGACCTGTTCCAGCCGATCAGCATGCTGTGGCAGCCGTGGGGCATCATGAACCCGCACTCCAAGTTCATGGCGCAGTGGAACAAGATGTTTATGGTGGCGTGCATCCTCGGCTTCACCATCGACCCCTGGTTCCTCTTCACCCTGCAGGCACTGCACCAAGTGCCGCCGGAACCGGTGAGCAAGAGAGAGGGGGGGAGGGAGGGAGGGAGGGGAGAGAGGGAGTAAGAGATGGAGTGAGGGAGTGAGTGTGTGGAGGCGCGTCCCAGCTCTCCAAGTTCATGGCGCAGTGGAACAAGGTGTTCATGGTGGCCTGCATCCTCGGGTTCTTGGCTTCTGAATTCTCTCCGTTTATAACCCGCTTCCTCACCAGGCCGCGCTGTGCCTCACTCTGGACTGGAGCCTTTTCAGTCGACTAAATGTCTCCTCGGGGTTCTCTCTCTGTTTATGCCCCCATTCCTCACCTTAGGCCATTTTTGAGTCGACTCAAAAGACTTTTGAGTCGACCCAAAAGTCCACCTGATTCTCTCTCTCGCGGTTTGTGGCCCCCAAACCTCACCTCAGGCCATGCTGTGCCTCACTCTCGATTGGACAGCAGCCATCGCCTTCAGTGTGCTGCGCTCCATTGTCGACATCTGCTACGTTATTCAAATCGTTATTCAGGTAAAGTAAAAGTGTATATCTCGGTTACAATTACTCGATCGTAAATGGAAATATTAAGGTTATTCAGGACATGGACCCCCTGCCACGTTTA